GTTGTGCTACCGGCTGGCAATTACAATATGAACAGTCTTACCAAATACAGAGCAAAAGGAAGGTTTCCTGTGCTTAGTTGGGTCGGTCCAAAAAATCAGTGTTTAGTGCGTAGTTCACAGGCGTTACCTGGCACCTTTGGACAAGTAAAGTGTGAGGACGACATCTCAATATTAGAGTCTTTTATGAAAATGTCTGGGTATAATTATTTGTTTGTGTATGATGCACGCCCAAAGCTAAATACAAAGGCAACTCGAATTCAAGGAGGCGGGATGGAGAGTTCGTCTGCATATCCATTTTGCTCGTTTGTGAATTTGGCGATGGACAGTATTAAAGATGTTAAAAACAGTTTTATGAAACTCCTCAAAACAGTTGTTTTTGATACCAGAGAGAGTTATGAATTTAAATTGTCCATTGAAAACTCGAAATGGTTACAATCCATCGACGCATTAATTGGGTATGCTAAGGATATTGCAACTAAGTTGTATTCTGGGTGTTCCATTCTCATCCATTGCAGAAATGGGTGGGACACGACTTGTCAACTCGTTTCGTTGGTGTTGATAATGGTCGATCCATATTACAGAACTATTGAAGGGTTTTTGGTGTTAATACAACGCGAATGGGTAGCAATGGGTCATCGATTCACTTTAAGAACTGGTTGTGGCGTGAAGTGGGATATCGACATACTTCCACTTATATCGTCGTACTATCCAGCACCAATCAAAAAATACAACTCGTCTATCATTCGTGCAAATATCGACAATTCAAGCGACACAGCAACTTCACCAATATTTTTCCAATTCATTGAAGCGGTCCATCACATCAAAAAAGCACACCCAAACGAGTTTCAATTCAAAGACAATCTACTTGTCTTCATCGCTGACTCTCTTTACAGTGGAAGATTTTCTACATTCTATGAGGGGACAATCAAAGACTTCAATTACTCAAATACACCAAGTATGTTTGACTACATTATGGAAAACGTCCTCACGTTCAACAACCAGGAATTCATAGGAAACAGCGTGACGCTTTTCCCCGTCATCGACATGTCACAATCCACTCTTTGGGATGAATATTTTTTCAGAGAAGAGAAAAACGCCATAAGAATTCATCAAACTTCATAACTTGTATTTTAATGTTTATTTGTGTTAAATACAAGAACATGTTCAATAATTTATTGTTATTCTTATTAATAATACAATTGATGAATGTCGTCTTAATATATAAAAAATCAAGTTGAACAAGATAATCATATTGTGGAGAATTGCTCTGGTCATTTCATTGAAGTATAAATGTTTTTTGCAAAACATAATGATTCACTTCGAAAGTTCAATATAAAATCATTTTCAAAGGCAAATAATTTGTTTTTGTTAAAGATCAAAATGGCAAAATTAATTTAATGTTAAAAAAGCGAAAAGTAATATTTACAAAAACACGTCAAACCCTATTATTGGTTTTAATAAACAAAGAAATGCTTGTATACTTTCTAATTAAAACAACTGAAAAACACACAATTAATCGCATAATGGAAGCAACTTCTCTTGACAACTTCAAGAAACTTGTCTCTCAAGGGCGGTCTGTTGTTTTCATCTCCACTTCCTCATGTCCTTCATGTCGTTCAATTCGTCCATATTTTATTCAAAAGGCTACTGAAAATGAAAAGTCTTCTCTTCATTTTGTGTTGGTGAATATAACTGACATTCCCGAGTTTAAAGATATTTTACAAGTTCGCACTGTACCCACATTTGCTTCATTTCTCGATGGTAAACCAGTGAAGACATTTTCTGGAAATTATCGTGATGAGTTGGATAGATTTGTTGAGAAAAACTTGCGTATGACTCTTAGTACACCACCACAGTAAAATTATAATTCATTTCCGCAACACTTGGTTTTGTAAACAAACACACAGATAGTAAATAATTAATCAATTTTGTTGTGGGGTAGAAGCTGGACCGAATGTATCAGATTCATCACTGTTATTTTGATTGGCAACCTCTTCGACACTATTTTTCTCTATTGGACTTCCTGTAGTTTTTCTGTTCTGCAAGAACTTTTTATTTCCTTCTGTTGGCGACTTTGAGGCTTTTGGTTTGTGTTGAATAAATTGTTTACTAAGTGTTGGCGATGGAGTCCTCCTCACAATTTCATTGAAAATAGACCCGTCGTCAACCATAGTTTTTGTTTTTGATTTATTTAATCGCGTGGAATACCTCACTTGTGGTTTGAGTGACTTTGCACGAGGTTCGGGCTTATTCTCGCCTGCACATTTGAAATACTTTCCAGCATCTAAGAATACGTCGTCGAGTTTCATCTGCTTGTTTCTTCGTTTAACAACAACACCAATTTTCTCGCAGAATACATCGTCCGACAATTTCTCGTCGCCACTCACCGCACACAAACAACACATGAAGTCCGCATTTATTTCGTCTCCAATTTGCACTCTCAAACAATAATGACACCTGAAGCAATTGACATGATAAAACCTCCCTTCAAAGAACCCGACATTCTCATCTCGTTGTATCTCTTCATAACAAAACTTACATATAATTCTGCCAGTACCAGTGTCAATTCGACTCAAATCGGTAACGCTTTTGATTGTGTCTTTGGGGTAATCGAAAGTACTATAGTCTTGTAATAGAGGACAGTACTTTTCAAATGTTACTCCTTTATCCATTTGTTCCTCACGCTCCATCATAAACATAAACCGCATCTGACTCTCTTCAAATTTTTGTACCAAAAACATTTTTTCAGAATCTTTCCCAACTTCTTTCACAAATTCGTCGTTGTGGAAAATGTGCTTTTGTTTTGTTTGGTCGAACCAAATGTATTTTTTATAGCTTCCAAAGACCCACGCAAGGTACTTGTGAAAGCACCTGTATATGATTTCGTTGCCTTCTTTAATTTCATCATCGTCGACAGAATCGTTGTACTTCCTTAAAACATAAGCCAAAGCACTCTTTAATTTCGTGGCTTCATTTCCATTTAACACCAACTCAAAGTCTAATTTGTTTTTGTTCAACATCTTTCCTGAATCGACATTTAATATGATGGTGTCATCCATAGACCCACAATCACTAAACACTTTCTCTAAGAAATTGCTCTTCACTCCAACAACATAAGGCATTGGCGCAGAACAATATGTGACAAGCGACACTGGAAGGACTGGAATGAACACGTGTTGCCACTGGAACGGAGTAATGAGTGACATAAACGCCATAATCATTTCCGACACCGTCTGAATCGAGTTACTGACAAACAAAAACTTTCTTTCTACCAACAAGAACCCGACTAAATCAACTAAAAATGACGCTCCAAAGACTTTGAGTAGCGACAAAACGTCATGTGAAGTGTTTGTTGTCAAGTCGTCCGAGTTAATGAATTGGTATTGTAAATGATGGAAATAAATGTTAGATAACACTTCATTGGGTAATGGAATAGGTTGGAGGCAGATGTCATCTAAGAACTTATTTAATATGTTCACAGACTTCATTCGGAGCTTCTCTGCTATTCTCAAAATTTCTTCAAACAAGTGACTTAAAGGTCTTTTGCCGATGATGCAGATGCATTCCGGTTCCGAGAAATGTGGAAATCGAAGACAATAAGCGTATTTTCGCGTCCCATTCACATCAGTTAGTGTGAACGTGAAAAACTCCGAAGTTGTGGGTTCTTGAAATAAACTGCGTTGTTTAAGAAGCGCGTCGCCTTCAGAAAAGCAAAATGGGAAGACCGTTTTTTGTTGGTCTAAATCGTTTGACACGTGTTGATAGAGACACTTCATTGCCATCTTGTCTGAAACTAATGTGCACTGCAGATGTAACACGTCTTCGATGAGTAGGTTAGTCATGACTTTGTAGTTTGTCATGCTATTTTTCACCTTTTGAAAAGAGTGAAAATAGTTTGAACACTAAAGAAAGAAGAAACGGGGATATTAAAAGTTTTTAATTGATTCAACATAATATTCAAAAATGCATACTCCTTTGTATAACACTTAAAATGAAAGATCTATGGCTGAATAATTACATTTTCAGGATGGTATGAGGAAAATATTTGTGATCGAAAAACAACACCAAAAATTTTGTGTTTCATCACTTTTGGGAGCAAAAGAACTTACAAACAATAACATTAGTTATTTTCTTATAATAATTGTTTTCTATAAAGTTCTTTTTCTATTTTAAGTTTATTAAAGAATAAAAAAGTGTATTATTAAAATACTATTAACTGTTTTTATTTTTTCAAATAAAGATATTAACCAATTTCTCTTGTACTTCAATCATCTCTCATAATGTTATTTAAAAAGTCGTTGCTATAACATATTCCTCTTTAATAAATCAAATGGATCTTCATTGATAATTGTTGACTTTAAGAATATATTTTGTAATGCCATTTTTATATGAAAAGTAGAGTCACATGGTTTGGGAATTTTTTCTTTTTTGCTTAAAATTTTTTTTCGACAGTTTTTTCAAAAGTATTTTGAAACTCCCCTCATCCTCAGTTTATTAAAACCATTAAATTATAGTATAATAATTATTAATGTTATAAGTTATACAATAATTTAATTATTATTAATATATAGATTAACAATATAGTATAAAATAGTTTTAAATATAATTAAAATAATAATAAATAATAATGTTTGTTATAATTTATTAGTTATAAATTTAACTATATTTTTATTATTTTATGGTACATAAATGTATTTTTAATAATAAATATTATAATATCTTAATAGTATTTTAATAATTATTATTTCAAATTTAAAAACAAACTTATTAATTATTTAATTTAATTGATTATAGTTTTTTATTTTGTAACTTAACCGTATTTCGAATAGAATTGACAAAGTTAATTGTATTTTATATTATTAATTTATTTAATTTATTTAAAACACTATTTTTTTTATTTTTCAAACCACCTTAAGAATTAATCAATTAGCATTTGAATATAAACTCGTTTACACTTTTAATTGTATATCATTAAAATAACTTAAATTATGGGTATTTGCATCATTAGTTATAAACGTTATAATAATTGTAATAATCTAAGTTGAATTAATACTTATAATAAAAAAACACAAACAACAATTGTTTAATGTATCAAAAAGTCAAATAACAAACATCGTTATCCAAACAATAATACGGTCTTTCATACGCAGTTTTCAGTAACATGTTCTGTGCTTGCATTTGACGTAGTTTAGAAAAGAATCTTTCAATACCAACAGTTGTTGGATCGACACAGACTAAAATATGAACAACACTCATTAGATTGACCAAATTTAATGACTCCAAAATGTTATAAATATTTAAGAGAGATAAACGTAACGGATATCCAGTGGTTCTTCTCATCTTACGATGAAGTTCACACTTCGATTCTTTGACATTTTTATACATTTCATCAATCTCTTTCTGTGTTCTTTGCCACATATACTCTGCAAGCGTTGTTATTTCAATCTCAAAGGATTCATTTAATATTTTATTATCCTTTAGAATATAACTGGGAATATCAGATGTTTTTGCCATCTCGTCAGGACAATAAAACAAGTCAACTAACTCCATATAGAATATATGGTTGTCGTTTTCTCTGAAAGCCTGCTCATCCACAGTTCCTTCATCATAATTGATATACCTTCTGGCATGTAACATGTTTGCCGAGTGTGAAAGTTGATGGAATCTTAGATACACTTGAGCCTTCAATCTTTTGATTATTCTCGACATGAAAAGGTCTCCCGTTTCCAACATCTTTTTGATTTCTCTGAATTCACTCCAATTTCCAGTCTTTATCTCTTCGAGTAAAACGTCAACATACCGAGCAAATATTTCCATTCTCTCAATGTATTCAAAAATCAAGCAGTTGGCTTCTTGTAACGATGAGACTAGATTAAACAATATTTTGAAGATTTCCTTTGATTTATAAAAAATAGCTTTGATTTCTGGGTTGCTCAATTTGAAAGAAACTGATGTTATATCATCAGATTCGGCCTCTTCTGCATCATCACTTCTTTCATATTGAGTGTCAACATCATTGTTTACGATATCTGTTTCATACTTTTTCTTTGGTTTCAGCCTTATTGCTCCTTTTTGAAAAATCACGATTCCATTCTTTTCAAACTCCGTGGTGATTGATTCGAGCACTTAGGGTTTGTTAATATAATTGCTGACATCATCATAATTGTCTGTTATGTCCTTCAAATTTTTGTAAATGTAGCACCATCGTGTCGCAGAATAAGTTGTTCGGAACTCATGTCCAACACTGCAACCGTCACAATAATCAGCAAGTCTTTTTTTCCGACATAACCATTGAACGAAAACTTTCGCCATTTTGATGTCGATATCTTTTTCGAGTGATTCGCCCATCAAATTTACTCTATGAGCTGAACACCAGAAATTTTTCATTTCACAATCAATTAATGGAAGATTTGTTGGGTCTTCAACATTAATCAAAGCGTTCATTTCCACTGTTATTCCATTGTCAAGACCAGAACACGTTGCAGCCCCATCTGTGGTGCAATTGACTATTCGGTAAGTGTTCAATCCTAGTTTTTGTATTTTCTCCACAATCCACTTAGCAAGAGTTTTCGCGTCACTATTGCCTTTAAACTGTTTAAGTACTAAGGGCATTGAATAGCAACTTCTTCCCTTGACTATTCTGAGCATAACACATATTATTTCCTGATCCCCCTTTGTTGTTGAGTCCACTGAAATCGCGAGACATTTATGCCAACTTTTTTCATTTTTGATTTTTTCTTTTTTTTTGTTGCATTTAAAGTAAAAACTTGATCTTTTGTTGTTCTTGCATTTACTGCCAATTTTTTCGCGTCTTCAAGAGTGTCTCTGCTAAATGTTGCATGGCTAAGAAGTGTACAACGCTTTACAACTCTAACTTGTTCTTCACTCATTCTAGATTTAACAACTTCACCATTCATTACATAATCACACACTTTTCTTTGCATGACTTTTATTCTTTTTAACATTTTGTTATTAGTAACATTTTTTGCTTTCTAAAAAAAAATCAAATGCCACAATGTATTTCTCCAAAACAAATATGTTATCAGAATCATATGTAAATTTTCTTAATAACTCAGCAGCCGAGTCAATGTTTAGTTCGTCGAAATCAATTCTATTATATATTAGAAAATCTCCACCTTCAAATAATGTAATTTCTTTAAGTATTTTACTTTTTTGGTCTTCTGGTACACATTTAAATAATTCAACATTTCGAACAAGTACTTCTTCATCTATTTTTACATCGTTATCTAATGTATTAATAGCTTTTTCGTGTTCTTCAACGACTCTTTCAGCTTTTAACAATTCATCAACAAGTAAATAATCGATATCATCTTCAGAACTTTCAAATTCATCTTCTGTTGTGGTTTCAGGAGTCTGCACTGTCTGAAAAATATATTCTTTTTCTTCAATGGATATTTTTGTTTCTTGTTCACCCAGAAACTTATTGTCGAATTTGTTGAATCTTTTACTATATTTTTTCATCTTCGCAGGCCCATAAAAAAGCTTTTAAAAACATCTGATTTGGATATTTTTATTTGCGTGTTCACTTTTGAATAAATTTACACTTCCTGTGATGAATCACTCGCTTCTTTAAAAGCAGCGATTGCCACACGGTCTAAATCATTGATCAACAAATTACGATGGTGTATATTTTTGTTGTCTTTGTAAGATGAATGGTCTTTTTCGCTCTCTGTGAGCATCCATTTGTGATGATGAATACAAAAAGAAAAATTCACATCTTTAAATAACGCTCTGATATAACAATAACTGAAATCTCTCTCAGAAAGAAATAAAGTAAGTTGACTGTGATTAAACAAAATTTTTTATTATTTTGTTTCAATTTTATGTTTTTAACAATAACTATATATATTTATATTTTTTAAATAATCGATAATTAATTCGTTAATTGTTTTTTTATTGGTGTGTTAATATAACATATAAAAACGTTAATTACTATTTAAATGTTAATTACTAAAGAAAACATTTGCTAAATGTGGATTCATTTTAGGAATGATTATTCATTATCACCTAATGTCCCGATTATTTGAGTGTTTATAAAAATAATCTTTACCAAAATTTTTTTTTGCCGCAAAAAAACAGCTTTTCAGTCTTATTTTTTAAAAAAGAAAAATTTCCTGAACCATGTAAGTAGAGTTTAAATATTAATGTTAATAAAACAGTTTTTCATATTTTTTTAAACAAGTCTTGTTTGTTTTATCTTTGAAGACTTAGATCTTACAATATATAAACATAAAAAGTGCTCTAATAATGTAATGTCTAAAAGCAATTTGCAATAAAAGAAATACTTTACGAAAAAAATGATATGTTTTTTTTTATCAAAATACAAATTTATATGTGATACTTTTTTCAAATAATTTAAACCCAATTTTATAATTTAAAAATACAGGCTTGTTTGATTATTAAATGTCTATAATTCTTTATTCTTATTCATATATTTCATTAAATAAATATGTACAACCTATTAAATAAATAATATTTATTTTATTTTCACAAAATTAATCATAAACTAATATTTAAAAAGTATATTAAATTTTATTATTTATTACTAGTAAATAGTTCTTTTTTATAAAAATAGATTTATTATAATTATCATTATTATTGAATTTATAAATTCAATAGATATTACAATGTCTTTTAAATTTAAAGAAATAAAACGAGTGAATTTTTCTTCTACATAATAATCAGCTTTTCTAAGTGTAAATGCCATTTTTTCAAATCCAATAATAATAACAAAACAAACCCAATATTGCACGAAATCGTGGAATGAGTCTACAAACACGGGGAACAAAGCATTAACACTTGTTTCGATCAATCCTACCATGAATTTTGCAGCTCTTTCATCAGTTAAGTCCATCCTCAGTTTTTCCTTCAACTTATTGATGCACTTTTGCCCCATTTCCTGGAAGACAGCGATGTTTGAATTGGTCATGAGTTGGAACAAATTCATGATGAGTTTCGAGCTTTTTCGTATTGAGTTATAACACTCGCAACACAACTTAGTGAACTCTTGATATTGTGGACTTCCTTTCCCGCCCATTCCCTCGACTATTTCTTTGCACAACTTCATAGGTGGGGGGAATGGTTTGCACTCTTTCCCAAGAATGTATCCAAAGTCAATATGGAACATGATGCCATTTCCTCTCACCAACAAATTGTCCAAATGCCTATCACCAACACCAAGCAGATACGTAATTACAGAATTTCCAGAGACACTTCGAACAAAATTGTTCGTTACAGCTGTTGGTATACTTCCTCCATTCATTTTCATCAAATAGTCTCTTATAGTCCCATCCTTAATGATATCACCCATTCCATCCGATGGTATAAATTCAACCATTCCATCGACTGGAGACGTCGCCACAACATGATATGGTGTCAATTTAAGATCCATAAGATCCTTCTTTAAGAGTCTATCCATCAACGATATCATTTGTCCAATTAGTTGGTCTTGTCTCAAATCATCTCCATGTTTCACTATCACCAAAAACTCCTTTTGGTCATACTCAATACCTCCTCGGATCTTAGTCATCTCAGGATCTACTATAAAAGGAAGTTTTAAAGGCGCTTTGTTCGATTTGAATATGAACGCTCCTTTACTATTAATCCCCTTCACATAGATTCTCGGGTTCAAAGGAAGTGCAATTGCCCCATTCGAAAAGATCTCAGCAACTGTAGGCGACTCTATCCATTCTTTCAATTGTTCCAACTTCTCTGGACGACTCAATGGACTGTTAATAAACTGCAGTTGCAATTTGGTGATCTCTTCAATCAACTTGCGCTGCTTCTCCGTCTCCTTTTTGTGTTCAGCATTTCTGTTACAGTCGAACGTGTCTCTCACCCATTTGTAGAAGTCACACGAATCTCCATCTTTACACCCACACTCGACTGTTAAGTACCAATAGAACCAATTCCCCAACACAAAATTTTCTTTGCACCGATCGATCAAATAGTCTATTAAGAAGCGCATCCCCCTCTTCTCCTCCTTTTCTTGTCGAAGGGCCTGCACAAACGAAAACAAGTAATCGCCAAATTCCTCGTCGGTAGTACTTTTAAGTCTTTCTACGGCATACTCTCTCACGTACGAATCTTTGATGCTCAACAACCCAAGGGCATCCTCGACATCTACCTTCTGCCAGATCTTCACAAACTCTTTTGCTTCTTCAACTTCGTGCAAATCCTCCCAATCAATGGCTTGCGCCAAGAAGATGTTCAGTGCCTTTGGATTTGTCGCAGCAAGGTATCGGCCATATCTTCTCAGCAGTGCTTTTTGCTCTCCATTCAAAAGGGTGACTGATGCTGGCATTCTCGAGATCGCGTCTAACTCCTTATATTCATTGATCGAAACAGGTTTGTTATCTCCCATACCTTTCGCATCCAACGACGACGTCAACTTCATATACATCTTCTCTCCAGCGATCTCTAAATTCTCTCCGACAAATTTGATCTCTTGGACTGGCCCACACTCGACCATTCTCCCTTGTGAAGTCACTGTAGGAAAGTGCCCCGGGTCGTTCTCGTTTTTATACAATTTGACGGGATTGTCAAACTCTGGTATAGTGATAGAGATGTATATCAAACTCCCAGTACGTCGCTCTTCTTCTTGTCGAAAAGCAGGGACAATAGATGCGGTAAATTGATCTAAAAAATCCATCCGACCTTTTGTCGAGACCATCTTCGTTTGATACTTCTCGGCTCGCTCAAGAGCATTTTTCTTGGTGTTATATCGCGGTTCTTTTTCGTTCAGAACAACACGTTGAACTCGAAGACGCTCATATTCGTCTATATCTCTGTGTTGTTATTCACTAATTAAACTAAAAAATATATATCGGTGGAAATTAACACTATTAAATGCCAACATGTGCTGGTAAAAATGGTGATAAAAGTGTGATACTGTTTATTGGAGAAAACAGACGATTATCAATGAACAAAGTATCGATATAATTATACGTATTATAAACATAGAAATAGTTTATTTATAATATTTTAATGATACAAATATAATAAAAACAAACAAAGCTATTTCGTCAGACAACGTTTTACAATTTTCAACCTTCACTCTTTTGGTTCCCTTTCTAAGTACATTCCCCTTTTCGTATCCAAAAAGGGGTAAAACTGCATCTCCGACAGGGACATATCCATTTTCCGTGTGATAACAATACACTCGCAACACAATGATAGCATCTTCTGACAAATCTTTGTATTGAATTGGAAATAATATCCATTCATTCCATTCCGCTTTTGATACATAATCTCTCGTTGGTGTTCTCTCTTCTTTACGAGAAATAGGAACACCATCACTTATTAGGGTCGCACCTATGTAGACTTGGTTTGGCTTTGTCTTTGGAAACTCAGGCATCCCTATTTTGGCATAGTCTATGTCACCATCCATGGAGTTAACACAAACACGGACAAACCGGTCAATTTCCCCTGTTAAGTAAAACAATGACATCTGCTCGTTGTTCGACATCAAAAAAACTGATAAACTAATTTGACACCTTTTTAAGTTCTTATTAAATAATTTGTAAAACTATAATTCAACTATTGTTTAATACAATTTGTTTTGTATTTGAATAATTTCATTAATGGTTTTAATAGTTTTTTCAATAACTTTTTTAAACATTATTTCTTATAATAATGAAAATAAAATTAAAACAAAAAAAAAACAAAAACATTTATATTCTTTAAAATGTTATTCTTTAAGTATGAAATTAAAATGAAGTTTATAAAAATAGATGATTAACATTACAAATCCTTTATATCGTTTTATGTTTCTTGTTATATATTTTTTAGTTTATATAATTATATAATTATTTTAATTAATAATAATTAAATTATTAATATTTGTTAATTTATTAAACAAAAATTATGACGATAATATAATAAACTAATAAAATGTAATTATTACTTAAATAAATATTTTTTCATTTTTTTATTTTACTAACTTTTTTTTGTTCAAGAAATGCATTGTTATGCCATTGGGTCTTTCGATGTTATTATTTATTTATTGTTACAATATAGTTTCTCTTGTTAATCGGGAAAGATCCCTAAATAATAGTTTTTTCAGCCACTTTTTCTAAAAATATATTTTTATATCAAAATTGTAAATATATTATTCAATAAAGCAGATAACAATAACAAAATTATTAAGTGGTTAATTATTTTAAATAGTAAACGAAAATGAAAATATATATATTTAAAACAAATAGTATTTTATTGTAATATAATATAGTTTATTATTAACAAAAAATGATTCAACCAAAATATACAACTTGCTATCTTTAACGCATTTTTATATATTTGTCTTACCAATAATAAATCATATTAAATTATAGTAATTATTTTATTATTAAATATAATTACAATAGTTTAAAATGATAAAAAAGTGAACGATATCATAAATATTTGGCAAATAACAACATTAACACAGTTATAATCACCAAAAACTAAACTCCATAATCATATGTCGTTTCTCTTTTTCTCAACACACTCTGCCGCAGATGATCTTTTGCAGGACTTCAGCGACTCAATGGGAGTTTCGACGGATCAAGTGAAGTACTTAATGTACAGTATTTTGTGTGGTCCTCTATGTTATGCCCTCCGTTTCCTTCCAAACAACAAATTGTTGAAACAAATTGTTTACATGATCCTTGGTATAGTGCTTACATACGCTTTATTTGGTAATGAAATTATATCAGTCTTCTTCACTACCATTCCAGTCTATTTGGTAATGCTTTTCTTCCCAACTCAAACAGGGGCAAATGTTAGTTTCATTATTTGTTTCTGTTACTTACTCTTCAGACATATATTCTTGTACTTCAATATGTACCTTATTTGGACGGTCGACTTCACAACAACTCATATGATCCTCACACTCAAACTGACTTCATTCTGTTTCTCTGTTGCTAATGCCAAAAAGGAGAACTTGAACGACTTCCAGACCAAGCATAAGATAGAGAAGTACCCAAATATCTTGGACTTCTTCTCTTTTATATTCTTCTTCCCAGGCCTGTTCTCGGGGCCAGCGTTGGAGTACAACGATTTCATGGCTTTTATGGACATGTCTGTGTTCAATGTGACTGGTGGAAAGCTCCCAGAGGTTCCAATTGTTGAGTTCCTTCTCAATTACATTGGTGGAATTGCGGCATACTTTTTCTATGCGTTTGTTAACGCACACCCACCACCAAGCCCGGAGTATTATATTCTTGAACACCCAGAGACTTGTGGCTTGTTGTGGAAATTGATGACGGTGTGGGTCACTGTGTCTACACTGAGAATTAAGTACTACGCGACTTGGAAATTGACTGAAGGCTTTGGACAAATCAGTGCGTGTGGATTTAGTGGGTTGGACAAAGAAGGAAAACCGCAATTTTTGTTGTATCAGAACATCAGAATCATTGAGTTTGAGACAAGCCGATCTGCGAAGACAAACATCGACAACTGGAATATGTATGTCCAGAAATGGCTTAAGAACTACGTCTACGTTGCTTTAACCGGAACCTATTTTGACAACTTCAAAACATCGTTGACGATGGTGGTGAGTGCATTCTGGCACGGAGTGTATCCGGGATATTATCTCACGTTCTTGTTGGTTGGATTCCACAAGGATGTTTCTAATTTGATATACAAGAAGTTGGACCCATTCATTAACGAGAAATTTGGGAAGGACAGCACTGTTGCTAAAGTGTATGATATAGTGTTGCGAGTGTATACCCATTGGGTGTTGAACTACGCCGTATACCCATTCATGAGATTTGAGTTCATTCCATCAGTAACTATGATGTACAGAACATATTTCTTAGGAATTCTTGTTCCCGCCGCAATATACTGTTGGCTCAAATTCAGCCCACCAAAAATCGAAAAAACTGAAAAGAAAAATTGATTTTATTTTAGTAGTTTGCTTTCTTTGGTTTTGTAGAATACTTCTGATACTTAAATGTTTTCAATCGATCTCTTCTTGAGTACGAAACAGCAAGTTGGATGGCAATATTTGAATCACATCAAATGCAAATTTGCTTGTGATCCCATCAATAATTTCTAAACTTTCAATTTCAGAGACAGTCACAACTGCACCGTACGTTTTAAAGTCAATTGCACACCTTCCATAGATCTCGCCGTTCAAAGTGAAAAATAAAATGTTGTTTCTATGTTCATCTTTATATATCCCACACCCAATTGTGTTGGTCTTTCCTGACTCATTTTTAAACTTGTTGATTATGTCTGTGGAAGCTGGAAATTCTTGTTTGAGACACTTTGAATGCACTTTGCCATCCCACCTAAATCCAATTGAATACTCATCGTTCCCCAAACTTTCATTTGGAAAGTCCGTGTAGTTCAGTTGGTCTATGACACCTAGTGAGAAAAAGCCATACCCTACTTTTGCCTCGAAATATCTAACATCTTGTAATATGAAGAAGTGATTGCTGTGGAAATATAGAAAAGGAAGAACACACTTTTCATCACAAAAATTGGATGAAATTGCAGTGACCATAAAAGGGGAACTTTTATAAAATTTGTTGTTCTCAATATACAACATATAAGAGAGTGAGATAAATTTCCGGAGTCTAAATAGATATGGAGATTCAAAAGTAGAAGACAACACCGCAATACGTTTGTCATTTAAAAAGAAAATGTTATCACTCGAGTCGTCGATATTTATTTGCAACGTCTCACTTATTTTTTGAGTAAAAGTGATTTTATTACAATTAAAAATATTAAGCACCCCTTTCTCATAGATTTTATTGGTTATCCCAATATTCGAAGACTTTATTAAATTGAGTGCCTTTAACTTAGTGATATTAAAAGTACACATAATAGATATATTGAAAGAAAATTTAATATACATCAGTTCAAGGTTTTGAAATGAACACTCGTTATCAAACCAGATGTGTTTCACCTCATCCATTTCCAATGTTTTGAGTGCTAAAAATGTATTTGAAAATCTAATATTATTTGCTTGAATAAGTAACATATGTTGAACATTATTTGTGTCAACTTTGAACAAAAAATCTTCTATGTATTCGTTTGTGTTAGTTGCAAAAAGCCCATACGTTGAAACACAATCTGGGAATTTCCATGTATGTTCAGTCTCCATATATCCATATTGAACGACATTATCTGCAAATGCATTGTTGATCACTTCATTGACAAGTTTAGTTTCTTCTACTGGACCTGCAATCTGAAGCATACCATTCTCAACAATAACATGATTTCTACTGTCACGGAAAACACTGTTTAATTCGTCGGGTAGAGTTTTAGTATAAAAGCTTATCTTTTTGAAATAGAAATGATTAATTGAAATTTCAACATTTTCATATGGATCTACCATTGCATAAACAGTACAATCTTGTTTATTATAAACAATGTAATTTATTGCGCAAAAAATATCAAATGATTTTTTACCAAGTTGGATGACATTTTCACCATCAGATATTAACACAATTTTGTGTAATCTATCACACCCTTTTCCAACCAAATTTTGAAGAAATTGCCGAACAACTTCATATTCGCCTTCAAGTCTTTTGAGTTGACTAAAGTATATCGAGTTTTTGACAACAAATTTTTGAACGTTCAATTCGCTGTTATAAGAAATTACCTTAACTCCACTCAAATGGATGGAAGTCGTTTTTTGAAAAATATCACACACCACTTTATAGTTTTCTCTTTTGAGCAAATCTCCTTCATAAAAATCCAAGTTAAAATTTGGGAATCTAATAAAGGTAGGTATATTCATTGCTTTTTTATATATTTTAATGACAGAAATATTATTGTTGCCAAAGTTCAAAGTTTTTGGTTCAAATTTGCTTACAAACCACATGAAACTTGTTTCTTCATAAAACTCCGGATTTACCATCAACGTAGTCACTGCTTCTCGACATTTTTTGTTCATTATCATAAAATTCATGACATTCTCTTTTGTTTCCAGAAAGAGTGCCACATTCATCAAATACAGCTTATCGAGTTTAGCATTCAAATCGAGTTTTATTCAGTTCAATTTCGTTGAAAATGAAATACAAATGAGTTGGTACCTTTAAATGATTTTTAGTTTGGCCCATAGACTTCAACAGCATAAGACAAATTCTATATTTATAATATATAAAAACTAAAATATTAGGATTTGTTTAGTAGAGATCAACGTATTACATCAACTCGTCGATTTCCTTGATGAGAGACAAAGAGTCCGACACTGATTGGTACGCGTTCATATTCTCGCCTTTTTTCTTCTCCGCGGCTGAAGCCTCAAAGACGATTTTGTTACCTTCTATTCTCCAGTTGTGCTAATCGTCACAAAATGGTGTTCTGAAGTGATACAAATAACAAACTTCTTTGACAACAGCGTTGAGCTCATCGTCACTATTTGTCATCAAAAGCTTACGAGCGTAGTCGATAGGGAGATCATTGTAAGCCGTTTGAATCGTGTTAGCTGCTGCCTCGACAATAGTAAGTTTGAGTTGGTTAATTAACGCCGCGACATTGATAGAAAGTTTTCCGACACACTCGAAGACTCTGTTGTACCGGCCTTCGATGAAAAACTGTTCCATTGATATGATTTGTTGGATGTTCGCGTTTTTGAAAGCGTCTTGTTGAAGGGATTCAATTTGTGTGTGGAACTCTGCTAACATGTTTTGCGAGAGCAACGTCAAAAGCTTGAACGCTGCGTTGTCATAGTACGTTTGGTCGTGAACTATCTCCATTTGTTTTTAATAGTTTTATTCTCTTTTTCTTTCTTTGAGGTTTTTTAATAGTAAATTAAAAGTTACTTCACATTTCTTTCTCTTTTTTTGTTCTATTTACTTTATTATAATATACTATAATTTATTAATTCAAAATAAAATAATAATTTTGTTAATGATATTAATATTTAACGAATATAAAATATATTAACATAAAATATATATACAATTTAATTAACGAGTTGTTTTAAATAAAATAATCAAGTTAAATAGTTTTTATTATATAATTAATAAAATACATTAAACAAACGACTCTTTAAATAAAAAACATATGTTAAATAAATTAAGTCTAATTAATTGTAATATCTTGAAATGCATACAAATACAATGGAAGGTGAAGGTGTGTGGGCTGATAAAGATAACTTGGGAGGACAAGTTGAAGACGAACAACTTCCACCACTGAAATTACGACCTTCAGGAAATTCTGGAGTTAAAGGGGTTATCAACGACTACAAAGATGCTCGTGCACACGCCGAAGAACGTCTCAAAGAGCGAGTTGAAGAGACGAAAAGGCAGATGATGGGGACAACCAAAAAGGAAGAGAAAAAAGACGAAGAAGACTTGGACGAGTTAGAGAAAGAGCTTTTTGGAGAAGTTGTGTCTCAACAAGTGTTCAAAGAACGGAACAAACACACTGCGATACCAAAGTGTTTAACGAAACGGCGTTATGGTGATGTTCTTGAACTCGACGATGACGAGTATGTCAAAATGATAACAACACTTGAAGATGATGTCTTTGGTGTTGTTCATATCTACACTTCTTTTGTAAAAGATTGTATCGACATTAACCACATCTTAGAAACTTATGCCCAAAAATATCCAACAGTCTGTTTTGGTAAAATCACATGGGAAGACTCGAACAAACCATTCCCGGAAACAGCTTTACCTGCACTTCTTGTGTATAAAGGAGATGTAATGGTGAAATCGTTATTCGGGAAAGAAGCACTCCCTTTCTTGAATGACATCTTCCCTGGCTTGATCGACTGATTCTTTGTTCTATTGTTCTAGTAAATTGTTAATTTCAAAATAATTTCAAACATTTTTTTTTTTCAAATAATTTCATCATAGTTTCTTGTTTTCATTTTACTTGTCGAAAACAAACCCACTTTTTGTATTATTATTATAATTTATTTTACTATATTCTTCTAATTTAAATATCATAACGTATGTTTAATCTTAATTACAATTTAGTTAAATAATGGTAACTTTTTAATTTAAACTATATTACAAATATCGAATTATTAATGATGTTTTACATCAAATTCCAGACCGAAATCGTCATTATTATATCGGCTGCTAAAAGAAAAAAATTAAAAATATAAAGTAATTAACATGTAAATTAAAATGTTTTACACCATTCAATTACCTATATAATATTTCGATGAATATAATTGGAAAAATGAATTATAAAAAGTATAATGGATAGAGCAGAGCAAGCTGAGGTGATTGACTTGCTTATAACCGGATATGTCAATCGCTTTATAACAACTTCGGAAGCAATTTTCATGTTAAACGTTCTCTCTAAATACCCACTTACTTCATCACATTCATTCGTCTTAATTCCACACACTGCCGCCCGTTTGGGGTTAGACATGGTACTTGAGAGGTGTGTTGAGATATACCCAGACTCAATTGAAGTCGTGAACTCATTCAATGAAACTCCTTTATTCACTGCTATTAGAAATTGTCAATACAAAACAGCTGAACTTCTCTTGAGACTGAAAGCAAATGCGTCACATTTGAACAGAACTGGAGACTCAATACTTCATGTGGTTTCTTCAAATCCATGTTCTGAAGAAAAGATGGCAATTGTCAGGGCCCTCTGTGGTAGATGCAACTTGGAAAACACTAAAAACATATTTGGCGAGTACCCCCTTCACTTCGCTGCACGCTCTGGAGACTTTGAAACAACTCAATTTTTAATGAGTCTAATTGGTGAAAAAAATGCTATCCCAATGTCCTCAGTGTTTGATTATTCCTTAGAATCAGGTCAAACAACAGTCATTGAATTCATCAAATCGCACATTTCAAAATCACAGAGAACTGAATTAGTGATATCAAAGCCATTGTCACCAATTGAAGTCAAGTCTGACTTTAAAGACCAAGGGGAGAATACAGTCGAGAAGTTGTTGGACACTTACAAACAATTTCAGACAAAGAACACAACCGTCCTAACTAAATTGCTTCATATAGTGATTGGGACTGAAGAGGAGTTTGTGAATGACACAATGCGAATGCTTCAGTTATCATATTCAGACACAATGTTGAAAGCGCCAAATGTATTTGGCGGTCATAGGAAGTATAAAATACTTTCATTAGATGGTGGTGGACTTAAGGTGATGTTAGAAGTCATTATCTTACGACGAATCATCGAGCACAACCCTAAATTTATCGAAAACACAAACTTGTTTTGTGGATGTTCTGCGTCGTCTGCTGTCGCGTGTTGTCTTGCTTTGGGACATTCAGTGGACAAATTAATACCGTTGTTCACTAACATGATGAAATTCTCATTCAAATCAAATTCGTTTCAACCGGTGACCTCTGCACGTTACTCAACAACGTACTTGTCACACTTTTGTAGATGCGCATTTGCAGATATTCCAATCAAATATCTACCAAGACATGTGCTTATTCCAGCCTTTTTAATGGACTCTAATACACAAACAAATCGACACTCAGAGGCAGTCATCTTCTCTAATTTGAATGAAGACAATTCAAACGACTTAGTTAGAGACATCTGTTTGAGAAGTGCAGCAGCCCCAACTTATTATAAACCCTACCAAAATTATATTGATGGCGGACTTATTGAGAACAATCCAGTGGCTTGCGCGTGGCCATATCTCTTTGGGGAAAATGGCATAGGCATCGACCAAAAGGATATCGTGTGTCTCTCCATCTCTGCTGGATTACCATCACCCGCCTTTATCGATTCACGCAAAATCGGAGATGGTGGAATAGCAAATTGGGCAACACAAATTTCTGAAGCGTTTTTGTTAGCCAAACGGAGTGAGAGTGTGAATGCGTCGAGGAGGTTACTTGGGGAAAGGTACTTTAGAGTTGATCCTCAATATTCGAAGTACATTGAATTAGATGATGTGAATGGAATAGATGAAGTAATTAAGACTGCTGAAGAGTGTGATTTAGATGACCTCTACAAGTGGATAGATACCCATTGGATCTAAGTGTTATGAAATTGATTGCTTTAGTTCTTCAAATCGTTAAATCTTTGAATACAAGAGTATAGAATATAAAACAGAAATAAGTATAAATTACTCAAACACAAAAGGTTGACGTACGTTGAGCTTCTTGTAACAGTTGAAACAAAACCCCCTTCCTTCATACTCAACAAAATTGGTAAAGAGTTTCGCTTGACACAAAAAGCACTTCGAACTTTTGTCGACAAGAAAACACTTTTTGGACTCTTTGGATGAGTCCGCCAGTAACAAATTGAATTGGAAATTTAGAGCCATATATGTGTTTGCAACACTTCTTATCCGCTTTAATAAAACTGTGATGTACTCTTCTTTCTCTATGTTGTGTTCAATGCATTTCTCAAGTACCTTCTCGTCATTTTTTAAATAAATCAATTGATAAACAAACATGAAATATGTCCAAATTGTCGATGAGTGACATTATCACCACTTTCAGTATTTCTCTCTTTTCGGACACTGCATAATCAAATAACACAGTCGAGTGTTTGGGGTGGCTTTTACAGTATTGTAGCACTGCGTCCACACCACCCATTATCATCAATTCACATATCAATTCCTTAATTTGATTCAGTTTTTCATAGACAACAATCAGTTCCTTTTGCATTTGATACTTCTGGAGGGAGGGAACTATACTCTTCAAGTTAATTGATACGGAATTGGACAAGACGTCTTGAAGCACGTGACTCAGTTCTTCTTTATATTCCTTTCTGTACTTGTTCTCATTAATAACTTCAATGCATCCATTGATTAACTCACTAGTACACTCCACACACTCTTCCTTGTTCTTTCTTGTATTAATTAACACGGACAATTTTGCATGTAACATATTGATGCAATGTAATATATCATGGTGCTTCTTCTCCTTCATTTTTCGTGTTAAAATGTCAATGAGTTGTTCTTTGATTGCTCGTTCCTCAAGCATTTTATTCCTCTTCTCTCGTATGGGGGGCACCTCAACGTCAAGATATCCACTCTCATCAAATACATCGGGAACTACCCACCCAAGAGCTATCTTCATCAGTCGCATCTCGACATTACTATTACAGTCCAATACTTGGATGATTAACAAAACATCATCGATACCATATTCATACACCCTTTCATCATCTACCATTGCAAGTTCGTTCCATATCGAAAGTGCCTTGATGTAATTCTTCTTCATCACATACAATTTGGACTTCACACGGAGTTCGTTTCTCTCCTCTTCGAAGAATAACACCTCGTCGACATCGATGTACCACCCCCGTCTCTCATCTAATTCAATTTCTTCAACAACATCATCGCGTTCGGAAAGAATCAACGCTTTAATACGTTGTGTTTCAATGTCCTTTTCATATTTTTCAAGTTTTTGATAGTTCTGGAGAAACTCAGAAAGTTTCCCAAACACCTCTTTTCGTCGTGTCTTCACTTCGCTCGGTACCATCTTTTGCTCCACCACGTTCCAATCAACAGGGGGTTTAAGTTCCTTATTTCCACTTTTAAAGTTGAGTTCGCCAAATATGAGTAAGACACTTCTTACGTCCCAATTGAGTTTCGCCTCCTTTGTTATTTGGACACATCTTAGAAATTGTTGGAAGGCTTCTCCATAGACTCCTTTCTCAATAAGTAACCCACCATATACTATTCTCACGAGTAATAATTCCTGATCACTTATCACTTGCAATGTTGTTTGCATTTCATTGGTGTAGAACTCCAAAAGTTGACTGATGACAATGTACTCCCCACTCTCTATATACACTTTGATGTATTGGATTAAGTCGCATGGTGTTAATAGAACTATCGGCCCAGTACTCTGCTTTTTACTCACAAAAATTTTACTATTCTTTTCATCTTGGCACATCGCGTCACTCTTCACCCGGAAAGTGTTTTCGAGTTTCCCATTGATGAAGTTATAGACTCTAATACAATCGGTGTATACACAAACAACAAAAGGGAAATGTATCACAATATTTGCTAACGTGTTTAATACTGCGGGAAACACTTCTTTCACATTTTCAACAGGAATTCCCTTCTTGTTGACAACTTGTAATGACTCGGAATTGCCAATAACCAAAAACTCGCCAATCGCGCGAACAAATGGACGCATTTTACCTTGGCCTCGCCTCTCACGTAGTACTCCGACTTTTCTATCAGAGAGTCGCACAAACTTTATTAAATCGCCTTGGATGTAATAGATTCTGTTTCCAGTCCACTCGATCGTCTGTGGAATCGTCTCAAACAAGATCCCACGAACCCTAATTTGGAATCCTTCATCCTTCGTGTATTCCATGAACGTCAAAAGTCGTTGTGTAGAATATATCCCAAAGTGCTCGACGTGACTCTTGATCACATCTTTATCTCTTAAAATAACAGCACAGTCCTCGCCAATGACTTCTTCCCCCTTTGGTGTTATTCGTTCTAACTCACTAGTTAGTACTCCCAACTTCAGGCATGTCACAAATAACAGAATTTCGCTCTTTGGAAAAACTTGGATCATCGTGATCGGCTGCTTCGATACTCTAACTCCTCGCATTATCATATACTTGTTGTCAACATACTCCGCTTTATAGATCGACCCATCTTCCCCACCAATGTACATTTTATTCGACCCAAACGCTAAGCTTCGGATTGGTGAGGGGGAGGTTTCTAATAATATTTTAGTGGTGAACACGGGCTTGTTCATGTCAATATTTAGTTCAGTTCTTTAGTCACTTTTTATAGATAAGACGCAACAAAGTACATCAAAAAACAGTAAAAGAACGTACTAATTTAGTCATAGAGTTCTGGATGGAACGACAAGATGTGCGTGTCTAAGTCAACTTGATTATTGAATTTGTTCTCGCACATGGGACATTCAAAATTGCCGGTCCCAACACTACTCGTTGGCAATTTGATGTCATTGAAGTTGAGTCCCTTTGGAAGTTGGTAATTGACATTCTTTGTTGCAAACGCACAGTCATAGTCTTTGTGATGTTGCATCATATTTAAAGGAACTTTTGCACCACATTTATCACACTCGTCCATGGTGTTCCCACAGAACTCCACGTGCCTCGACAACTCTTTCATTGGGAACATCAAGGAACAGAACTGGCACTTCGCCAATCTGCACGTACACTCTTCCTCTAAGTGCTTTTTCATATATTGTTTCTCTATTTCCTGACCACATTGAACGCACTTTTGTAACATGTGGAGTTCCATATGTTGCGTCTCTTCCTCTGAATTGATCAAAAGCTTTTTACCACAGATCCCACATAACTTATACATCTTAGAACATCGCAACGTGTGCATTCTAAAGTTCGCAGCAGACACTTGACTATTGCAGTGTGGGCATACCTTCGTGTTTGGACTTGACTCCGTCTCCATCTTCTTTCCCATATCCTTCGACATTCCAAGTCGTTTCCCGTCACATTCAAACGGTTTAAATTCTGTAGACTCTGTTAGTTTAACCTTCGGATCGACTTTTTGGGGGTTCTCAAATACCATTTTGCTATTTCCTGTCTCATCATCGTCATCCTCGTCTTCACTATCGTCGTCTTCCATTTTGGTTGGTGGTTTTGGCTTGTCATACTTCGGAGCGATTTCGGGGTTTTCTTCGAATTCGACGTTGAGGTCTGTGTCTCTGATTAGTACCGTTGTTAGTGGTTGTAAATCTGTTATAAGTACCGAAACGTCAGTTGCGAGTGTTAATCCATCGACCTTTGTATTCATCTGGAATGTGATGGTTGTGTTTGCAGTTAGTGTCACATAATTTCGTAATAACGCTTCGAGTGTTTGTTTTGGGTTTTCGATTGTGTAAAATGTTGCTTGGAGTGGTTTGAACGTGACCGACTTTCCCAAAGGGACCCATGTCTTAATGGCAATTGCTCTATCGCCCGGATTAAATTTCAGGTAGTCCATCATCCACTGTGGCATATATGTGAAATCGGGAGAGTCGAAGTTATCGACACCACACACTAATCTCCGCTTTGTTTTTGTGTTCTGAATCTCAAACATAATCGGGGACTTAAATTCCGGGTTTTGGTTAAAGACTTTGTCCATCACATAAGGGGGGAATACGACACGGTCTGTGGGTTGTGGGGGGATTTTTCCTGCCAAAAATGCAAATGAATAACATGTTATTTCAATTGGTCTGTATGCCGAGAGATTCTCTCTTATCATCTATGTATTTATAAGTTTGATTTTTGAAGTTGAGATTTGATAATGAGGTTTTTCTTTGTAATAGTTTTGAATTATATCTCCACTTTTTTTTATGGCTTTTTTTATATGTGTATACAAAAGTATTATAAAATCTATTATATAGTTGTTTTTAGTTATTTTTAATTAATATTGTTATTATTATAATAAAATCTTCAATTTGTGAAAAAATAAATTGAAGTGTAATTGTTAATATGTATTGTTTTAATATTATATTTTTATTGTTAATATATTTAAATGACATAATTAATTATTAATTATTATATTAAAGAGAAAGGATGGACATGGGGACGAAGAC